ATGTAATAGATTATACTGATAGATGACACATAAAGACTTAAAGGATTAAGAAACATATAGAATTTTCTTTTGTTGTCTCCCCATTGAGTCATTCTTAAACCAGTCTTCATTATAAACCATTCACTAGGAACTGATGAAATTGATGCTTTTTCTAAATTGCTGTTTTCTAGTAAGTGTTGGTTGATTCTATTCATGTGTTTGTTTAATTCCCAAACGTTTTGAAAAAATCTTCCTGATTTACACTGATGGTTCATATTATCTTCACTGTCTGAATATAAATTTTCTTCAATTCTAAATTTAGATTTGTTTGATTTTTCTCCTAAAACAACTTCCCCCTGTTCAAATCCCCATGTTGGAAGTTTTTTCTTAGTAATAGTTAAGTATTTACCTGAAATCTTGTGTTTTAGGTGGAATGTCCCTAAGAGAGAAACAACATTAGGTCCTTGCTGGTCTTTTGTAATATCAAGCTCAATAATAAACACAGAATTAACATCAGGAACATCATTTTTGAAATATGCCACTTTTTCTGTTGTACTTATAAATGCATCACGATAATCTGTTCCTAAATATCCTCCTGTTTCATCATGTAATAAAACAACCTCATCACCATTCTTTAAAAATTTAGAATCTTCTTTGCTTTTAGGTAGCTGAAAATAGAAAACATTATTCTTATCACTGTGACCATAAGTTGTTGCCTGATATTTGTTTATTCCTTCACTGTCTAAATCATCACCAGGATATACGTGCTTATGGGAATGTAAATACCCGTTTTCTGCTTTAATAGTTATTTGTTTTCCGTATGTAATATATTTTTTATAATTAGTATAACGATTATTTTTTAGTGAAAAATTAAACTCTACTGATAGTTGATTTGAGTCACTTGAAGGATTAGCTAATATTAACAAGTGTAAATAAAAGCTAAATAAATATATAACTAGTGGTATTACTATTAAAAACATACTTCTTTGAACTAAAAATTTCAAAACATTTTTAACTGGTTTTGTAATACTTTCCATATATAGCTCATATATTATAAATATTCCAACATACAACATTGTAAGACAACCTAGCCACTT